GGCAGTGCCAGGTGCTCCAAGAGCCCCTGGTCCATCCAGACCCAGGGCTGCAGAAATGTCCCCCCTGCCCAGAGAGTGGGGCTGGGGCACAGACCAGTCACAGGGTCCCCTCCTGCTTTCCTCCCTATGCAGACTTCAAGACAAGCCACTGGTTTGTAAGGGCTCCCCAGCCACTTGCCCTCCCAAGCGGGTGATAACTGCTGTGGCAGGGAACAGACGAGACAGTGCATCCACGTGCCAGCCCTCTGGCCAGGGTCATTAGCGGCACCAGACCCAACCTGCAACCTTCAGCAAGTCATTTCATCCTCCTTATGCCTCGAATGACCAAATCAAGAGAATAATTTTCTCTTTGTGTGGCCCTGTGCAGATTGTGTGTCTGATTATGTCCCAGCTTGCTGGGTCAGAAGCTCTAGCTGAGGACTTTGATGCACATCAACACAGACAGCAGAGCTGGGGCTTTTTGCTGAGCCAGCAGGCACACCATGCTAGTAGGGAACATCATTAGTAACAAGATTTGCTTTAATACTGGCAAGTCAACAGCTCTTTGTCCTGGTATTTTGGTGGTTTATTAAGCTCATCATAGTTTTGAGAGTCACTGGAGGGTGCACACCACGATGCTGGGACAGGGACCAAGCACAGGAAGGAGGGGATGGTCCTTTGTGAATTTGGGAGCAGCACCAGCACAGAGGAGCTGTTTTGGCAGTGCATTTCTCCTGGTGTCACCCACTGATGCCCAGCGAGCTGTCACAGCCATTGGTGGCTTTTCTGTTTTTAGCCTGTGCTTCCAGTCTGATCCTACAAGTCTGCAGGAATCCTGAAGCTTTCAGCTTTTTCTCTTCCCCCAGCCTGTGCTTGGTCTTGTGTTATCCAAGGCTGGCTCTGAGGGTTGGTGCAAGGTGGGGATCAGCCAATGGATGGTAAAGCAGGAGCCAAAGCAGTGCCATAGAGGGGAGAGCTCCTTAAGAGTCCTCTCCAGCCACCCTGGAACAGACAGGCTGCTTCACCATCAGGGCATGGCACAAGAGGTGTCACACTTGGTCACACTGCAGCAGGGACCCTACCTCTGTCAGACCTCTGGGACCACACAGCCCATCACCCAGGCCAGGCTCAGGCACTGAGAACAACCAACTGCTGCAGCTCCAGTGAGTAGTGAGGAATTTTAATTAGAAGGTCTGCTCAGCATGTAACCTGCAGTGCTTTGGTTGTGTTTGCAAATGGTTAAGCACTGAAGGAGGGAGAAGCAGGGCTGTGATCCAGTCCAGAGCTGGTGGGGGCGAGAGGGACTCACACCTCTCCAGCTGCCACTGTCCCTGCCCGGCTTCAGAAAAGGGAGATGGAGCTGATGGGATTGTGCAGGTGCCACTGCACCACCAGAGACCACTGCTCTGGCACGCTGTGCTGGCAGCCTGACTGCCTGCAGACACCACTCCTGCTCACTCCAGGCTCTCAGAAGTGGGGCTTTTTTGGATCAGTCATTTGCTCTCCTCTCCACATACAAGCACAAGTCTCCTTTGCACACAGAAACAGGGTAGTGCTCTCCCAGCTTATCCATCTGGGATGCTCTCTTTCTCCATCCGATGGGGAAGCTGCTGATGTGGAGCAACCACTCACCTTCCTGCTGCTCTCCAAGCAGCTGACTCTTTAAACAACACAGCCACAACTGCCAGCAAACACTGCAGAGCCCACATCTCCCAACAGGCACAAGCCAAACAACCAGCCTTCCAGTGGCCACCACTCCTCCAGAGGGAGTGACAAAGGATTAATTTCCCTTCCCTCCGGAGGAAACTCTCCAGCATATGGAAACATTCTAGGAATTCAGATAAAAAACAATTCCCAAGAGATCAATTAAGAGTTTGGATAGATCGCATGATATGTGCTCTTGTCTATCCAAGGGAAACTTGGCAAAGAAAGCTGCTTGGCCTGGGGGAGCTGAGGGGAGGGCAAGATGTCAAGCACGGAAAACACTTGTCTCCTAAGAAAACATGCAGAGACAAGAATGGCAGAGGGGAAGGAATGGCAGCTCAGGGGCAGAGGACACGCAGGACCTTCCCTGTTTTAGTTAATGCAGTGACAGCAGCGAGCCGCCTGCCCGCAGCACAGCACAGGGCAGCCCTTGTCTTTGCCACATCAAAAGCATCCAGGGCTCACCCCGTGCACTTTTAACACTAAGTCCTCTCTTCCCATGCCGAGCGTGTGTACATCCCATGCTGCAGCTGCTCTGTGCCAAAATCCAGCCCGGGGCACTGGCGTGACTGGCAAGTCCTGGATTCCCAGCAAACGCTGGACTTTGCACGCAAGTCTGATGTGCCCCGTTACCACAGCCAGCACTGCGAGCGCTGTGCCTGGCAGAGCAAGGGAAGTGCTTGCCCCCTGCAAGCTTTCAGACCTGGAGGGCTGTTGTTTAATTGCAGCCTGATTGGAAAAGGTCACATAAAATCAGAAAACAAGAAATACCATCTCCCCTGTCTCCAGGGAGGGCAGGAGCAGTCACCTCAGGAGCAGTGTGGCCAGAGCCAGCACCTTGAACAGCTTTGAAGATGCTGTGCCCAACTGGCAGTCAGACCAGAGAAGCAACACAGCAGCAAACAACCCGCCTGAAGCATTGTCAGCTTCTCAAAGAGAGCCTTTGGAAAAGGGAAGGAGATTGAACTTGCCGCCAACAAACTTCTTTTGAAACTCCTGGATAATTTTCAGTTTCAGATCCAGGGAGAAGGGGGGTGGAAGGAGTTCTGGAGAGCAGATTGCTGGCTCCCATTATGGAAGCAAGCTTAATAAAATTTATAGAAATATTGGTGGTTCTGCTGTGCAGTGCCAAGAATACGTTAGAATAAAACCTTGTGAGCAGAAGGGAGAGATAGAATGTCATCTTAGCCTTGATATGAAAGATCAGCCTTCATCTCCTGAAGCCTATCTCCAGGAGCAGTAACTAGCACGCACACTTGCCTTCCCTTCAGAGCAGCTCTTTGCACAGCCTGCCTCGCACGGTTCATCTCTGTCGCAGCCTTGTACAAATGGTACTGGGATGACCCTGGCTCACAACCAACTGATAAGATAAAAGAATAAAGAGGGAGTCATTTTATCTTACTGGGGTTTTAATGACTTGCCAGCGCAACACAGACCTGGCTCAATTTCCTCCATGGGAAAGCTACATCCAGTTACTTTGTATCAACCCCACCCTACCTGGAGCCCACAAAGGGCTGCATCTGGCCACACACAGCACTCCCTTCATCTCCCTTTCCTAACCCATAATGCCAAAGCAACAGCCAGAAAACAGCAGGGAGCAAAAGATCCACTGGCAGACCACTGCCATCAAGAGCGAGCAGATCTCACTTTCCAATCCTGCTCTCTTTCCCCTTGAGCTTGCTCTGCTGGTAACAGGAGGAGGGAGATGAAAGCTCTCACACTCATTTCTCAGAGCTTATTTTGGGAACCGAGCAGCCAGACCCTTGGGACCAGAGCTGGTTGTTTGCATGGTACTGATCCTCTTCCAAGGCTTTAGTCTACTGAAATGCCTTTCAAACCTTGCCCTGCACTTGCAGGCTTACAAAGTTAACCACAACCAGGAAAAGCAAAGGGCATGTGCACACTGGCCCCCTTCCCCAGATTTCATTTCCAGTCTGAAAACTCTAGAAACAATTTGCATCCTAGAAAAAGAGTTCTTTGCCCTTCTCCCTCAGCACTTCCTCAAGGCAGGCAGCAACCCCAGCAGAGCCAGCACCTTTATTCAAAACAGGTCCCAACTGATAAATGATGTGTTAGTGCAGCCTTTATTATCTTAACCAATTTGTTATGTCAAATCTGTTTCAGCTTAGAAGGTAAAACAAAAACCTGCTCTGCCAGTACACCCCAACCCCTGTGAGAAGAGAACCAAGCCAAACTGTGGTTTCCCATTGCCAGCCAGGTTCATTCATCTCTGGGAGCTGAGCACAGATGCAATCCAGCTCCCCAGGCTGTGATGGGCCTCGCCAGGCTGCCCACAGCAACGGAGAAAAACACAGTGTCACCCTGAGCAGATGAGCCTGACAACACACACCGACTGTGAGCTGTTACGCTGGAACACTTACGCTCCAGTTTGACCACGACTGTACAACATGAGCGGCTCAAGCCTCTTGGAGAGGCTCATCCTTCACTTCAGGCTCTCACAGCACGATGACGCTCCTTGTGTGCACTTTTTGTTGAGTCCCAAAAACCTGATTAGACCTTGAACTTTACTAAATCCTCTCTTCAACAGCATTAGTCATTCAGATGTGATTAGAACCTTCCCCCCTCCCGAAAATTGCATGTTCCGACCCAGAACAACAGAGACAAGATGGACGCTCATTCCCTGAATGCCAGTCGTGCTCTGAAGTCATCAGGGGCTGCACAGATAGCTCAGCTACTGCCTTTACCAAAATGATGTAGCCACCCAGGCATACAAGAAAGCAGAAGAGAAAACAATGCCTGTGTCCTCAGAGAGGAAGGACTGCCCAGGCACTCCAGCAGCCTCAAGGTTTTGGAGAAAACACATGCTTCAGTCTCCAGGAGTGCACTGAAAAAGTCAGAGTGGTTAAGTACAAAGGCTCAGAAATCTCCATCCTCGGATTTAATGACCAGTCAGCAATGACAGGGACACAGGATGACAAGAAGGAAGGGAGGAACAACTTAATCTGTCAGGGACTGCCCAGAACAACTTTCCAAGACAAACATCACCTCCCTGACACAACCCCACCACACTGACCAAGCCTGTTCCACGGTGCTACTAAAGAAATGGAATAATCCTGGGAAAAAGCAGCCACTAAAAACAAGTCAGTGCTTTACTCACCTGTTCTGTCAGGACTGCACAAACAGGTCACCAGGAGAGGAGAGCATAGTCACACTTTCCTCACTGCTTGGAAGCCAGGCAGTGCAGAGCCAGCCCTTGGCCTGGGTAAGGAAAAACGAAGGAGCCCACAGAATCCTTCTGAAAATAAAGCCATGCTGATGTTGTCAGTTGGTAACAAAGAGACCACAGCCACAACAGATATAGTGAAATAGACTATTTTATTGCTGCACACATGCTTGCACATTTCTTCTTAAATATAATGTTGCTCTGATAAATTTTACAATCTTTTTATTTCAGCAAGTGGCTAGTAAATAAAAAGGACACAGGCAACAAAACACAAAAAGGACGCTGGCAACAGAAGAAAAATCAGAAGGTTTTTATTTTGTGATAAAATCATTTGCAGCATGAATAAAGTGAATTCAGATCTAAGTTTGTCCTGGCTCATCTTAATTAGAGAGCTTGCCTGCATGCTGACCATCTGCTTATGCATGCTTTTGGATAGCCCTATTTTGCCAAAAGGGATGGGGGGGGTTAAAGGATCCCAAGTAATTGGACAATCTGACAGACCTCACAGATGTGACCACTAAGTGCACGCAGACAGATGAGGCATTTGCTTGGAAGCCCACGTGGACTTGCACTACTGGGAAGGCAGATCAAAAGGCCACACTGACCTTTCCTCCCACATGTACAACTGCAGCCTCACTTGCTCCACGCTTAAGGACGCGGGAATGGAATTATTCAAGAGCAGCCATATGGAAAACGCTTCCCAGCACTGCCTCCTCCTCTGCCTCCCTCCTGCTTTGCCCACTGCCAGTGTCCATTTGCTTTAGCAGCTGAGGCATCTGCAGAGAAAAGCATTAGCACATTCTTTGGTAATCCTGCTTCTGCATCTCGCTCACTGCAAGCAGGAGGCAAAGGCCACGTCCTGTTCTCTGGTGGCTCCGTGCAAGCCTTGCGCAGGGATGTCAGAGCCACTGCTGTGGAAAGCCAACTACTAAGATGTCAGATGTGGAATTTATGCTGGAGGAGTAGAAGGGATGCGATAAACTAAACATCCTGCTTATGTTCTGTGTCATCTTCAGCCATACAGGGAGGAGAAACACAGGGGAACTGAAGCAGCTGGGTCAAGCTGTATCAGGCTTTCGTAAGCCTGACAGCACAAAAACAAGCAGTTCTGCTTTCACCCTTCTTTCTTCAAAATATATGGGACTTCAAATTAAAGCTTTCCTAATAGCCCTTCCCCTCCTCAAGTTCATGCAGATGCCTTTATCAGCATAAGTTGTGCTGGGCTCTTTGGGGGTCCTGTCAAAGTCACACTGAGCTTAGAGATGGCCATGTAGGTTCCCAGATCACACAGCAAAGGTACAGCTCCTCTCCACATCACCAGCACGCTCCTGCTGCTTCCTGCTTCCACACAGCAACACGCTCCTCCAGGGACACATCTCTTCCCTCACACTAATATGGCAGCGGAAAACAAACCACAGCAGCTCCTTGCACTTCCTCATAAGCGTTTTGAAACAGAATTGAAGCACACCCTGCTTGAACTTCACACTTGATCTGCAAGAGACACCAGTTAAACCCAGATGACAAAGTGCACAAGCATCTGGGATTCAGTTACGTCAATGAACCTCATCTCTGCTCACCCCGCCCCAGCTCTGTCCCCAGCTTCTGTTAAGTGCAACTCAATCCTGTCACATGATTTTGCCGAAGTCCAGCTTCCCACAAGTACAGTGGCCAAAGCCCAGTGTTCCCTCCTCAGTGCAACTGAACACACTCTGCCTAGAGCGGGTGGTGCCCAGAGCCTGCCCACGGCCCTGCCAACAGCTTCAGTGCGGGCCAGGTACAGCAGGTGCTTTCCTTTCTCATATGAGGCACCACCACCATTACAGAAAACAACACCCTGAAGCTGCAAGGGATCCATGTCCAGTTCTCACATCACACCATAAAAGCACACCTGACATAGATTATTTCAGAATCTTGCCTCACAAAGTGACCAAAATGACAATATGCATTGGTAGTGGCAGCCCAGTGCCCCTGCAAGATTCCCTCTGTGCTTCACTGCAGTGCCTGCTCTCCCTCCCAGCGCACAGCATGGCAAAGCACGCCTGGCCTGCGCCTTGGAGACCCGAGACTCTCCCGGCAAACCATTCCAGAGACAGACAGCTCCGAGGGCAGCCTATTTAGCAAGACAAGCTTTATGTAGGGGTAGTGCCTGCTGATTAGTGCTAAGAAGGAACATCATTACCCTCATTAGGAATCCAGGGAGATAACACCAGATAACACTACCTACTGCAGAACACAGATTCAAAAACATTCGTTAGTACAAACAGTGAATTTCCTGGAGAACAATGAAGCTACAAGGCTCAAGGCTGAGCAAAGCTAGAAGGCTGATGAGTGGGACAGCAGCCCTGTGAGGCCCCAAAAGACCCCTTTTCCTTTTAAAAAGATTTCCAGTGCCCTTTTTCCCTAACCCACCAGCAAGTCAGCTTTGCTCTACCACAATGGACAAAAAGAAAGGAAAAAGTGCTGTTTCTGAGAAGGTGTTTCCTTGCTCTGTTAGGAAGAAAAGGGCTGCTCTCCTTTCTTTTGTGCATTGAAAGCTACTGCTTTCTAAGAATGGAAGGACTCTGTCTCTACTGTATTCCCAAAGATGCCTGTTCAGAAAGCAAAGCTTTTTTTTCTGAGCACTTCAAAGCAATGAAAAGCTAGGGAAGACTTGGAAATTGTTTTGTTTTGTTTTGTTGGGCTTTTTTCATCTAAGAAGTAAAAGAGCAGGTGAAGACAGTGCCTTCTACGTAGCCAAGTACCCCTGTCTCGCTGGTGGGGATGCACTACCCACCTCTGCCAGTCTTAAAATGCTGACAGTGACAGTGCTGACTTCCCTTCCCATACACTTATTTGTAGAGTTTAATCCAGTTTTCTTCCTCTGCTGGTGGTAATTCAACCAACATTCTGGCATGAGCCAGTTTCAGAAGTGTCTTGTTGGGCAACAGAACAGGATGGGTCCTAATCCCAGGCAGTAGGAAGTCCCTAGAACAGCTCCATCACCATCCCAAACAGCTCACAGTCTCCTGTCTGCACCTGTGTTGTACAAAGGAGCAGCTACGATTTGGGCTGAGCTTTGGGAGCTACTTCTGAAAGGAGAAACAAAAGCCAAAATAAAACCAAACACAAACCAGAAATGCAAATGTCCAGACACAAATAAATTAAAAAGAAATCATGCTTGAAAGTGGATGGGAAGGAGGACAAAGAACGAGAAGAGGAACATTCAGACTGGGATGTTCTTGCACTCTGAGCCAACCCAGTGAGGGCTACGCAGGCTGCATATGACAGGCAGGGCTTGCACTCATCAGCACTCAAGCCCTATACTGGCCAGGAGGTTTTCCAGAGCTTCAAGTTTCTGGTTGGCTTCCTCAATGGCACTGTAAGTCTGCACGTTGCTGGTGATGTGGAAGCGGATGTCATCGACCAGAGGAATGGAGTCAGTCTCCTGCCGCTCCTCCACAGCCTCCGCGTTCTCCTTCACAGCAGCCGCAAACTCCTCCAACTCCACCAGCTGGACAGGATGGACAAAAGAACCATTAGGAAGACAAGAAGACAGGTAAAGAGATGTAAAGGGTTGGGATAATGGTCTCAGCCACTGTTAAAGGATCCCATAGAAAAAAAAGGAGTGCTAAGGGTACATGGAGACCCAAATCTTCCTTCATCTCCTACAGACACCACTTGGAGATACATCCTGCCATCCATTCTAGGGAGGCAGTAATACTCCAGCAATAAACAGTCACAACTCTAAGCAATCTGCACCTCCAACAGTGCACTCTAACACTCTCTAAGCATCCCTAGCCTTGGTATTGGGGCACATGAATACACACAATATTCCCCAAGAAAGCTTCAGCAGGAACCAGGAGATTGCCAGACATTTTGGGGAGAAGTCCTGTAGCAGACAAGCCAGTGGGTGCTTGTGCCCAGTGCGGAACTAGGAGCCACAGATGACTATCCTCCCACAATGACTCAGCCCCACCACCACCAGCAAGGCAGCTGCTCTGCTCTGTGCCCACCCTGACAGAATTGGGTCACCCATGAATGATTCTGCACCAGGTTCCCCAGGAACATGTGGTGAGTTGAAGGGTGAGAGGCAGCTTCTGTCTGCCTGTGCTACTGAACTGTGCCTACTGAACTCAGCAGGCTGCTGAGCTCCGCTCTGCTACCACACCGCCAAAATCCCTCCCTGCTGCCATCAGTGCATCTCGACAAGATGCTGGCAAGGGCTGATGTCTGAACAGCTGGGGTGGCTCTCTCTGTGCCAACACCCTTAGGAAGGCACACTGCCAGTGCTGGGTCCAAGGACTCCCACTCGAGCTAGAGATGGGGAATGCAAGGGGAACACAGAAGTAAAGCCTGACTCCAATCACTACTTGGGATGTTCAGCAGCTTTTTCAGAAGCCAGAATCAGAAGGGTGCAAGCTATGCACTGAACAAAGTAACAGCCCCAGAATCATTTCCTTCACTGTTTTCACAGGCCAAAAATAATTTCACACCTTTTAAGCTGTAGGTGAAAATGTTACACTCCCATGCGAACTGTACGAGCCATTTATAAAGATCTGCCTCAGGTTAAAAACACTCCATAGATTCTAGTTTATCCATCCATATGGCAACTTTCTCCATGAGTCCTGAAACTTTAAGCTATAATCACTCAGGATAACACTTAAATGGAGCCCCATAAGGAAAACTTCAATGTTAAATTCATTACTTCTTACTGTTCAATAGCCAATTTTCCCTGCGTAAAGCCCTGCTATTTGATTTGTCATCCTGGAGATTAGAGATCACATTGATTTCTCCTTTCTAGAGCATTATGCCAGGAAGAACTCCCTCCAGCAAACACTGAAAAACATTTTCTGAAGAGACCCTCCTTGCGCACTCCATTGGGTTCTCCAGGCTGAACCTTGTGTATTCAGTCAACGCTCTGGGCACAGTGTCTGAAAGCTCACTGAAAATCACCTGCCCCTGGTACCTGCAGAGCTTTTTGGGCAGGTTTTTCACCCCACAGTCCCCAGGGATGTGCTAGACAGCCACCAGCATGTGGCTTACTGTGGTGACATCAGGTACTGCCACACTCCTCCTCCTCTGTCCTAACTCACCACGTGCTTTGCTACTTAACTGCTGCACATTTTCAGGAAGGACATTAATCCAGAGCAGGCAACCATTTAGTACAGACCAAAGGACAACCATTAAATCTGCTGTATCTATGGCTCACTGCACAGTTAGATTTATGAGCACACGTGGTCAGTGCCGCAGGGAGTGTTTTGGTACCTTCTCGATGATCTTTGCCATGTACTCCGTGCACTGGTCCTCCAGCCGGGTCAGCTGAAACAGCTTTGCGATCCTCCAGATGCTGATGATGTTGTCCTCATCGAGGATCTGGGCCAGGGTCCTGCCACACAGACGCTTGAGCCCAGGCAGTAGGTACATGTCTGCCACACACAGCACGTCATAGGCGTTTTCTGGGGACAGCTGGTAATGGAAAAAGGAGAATTACAGTCCAGTTCTAAGCTCAACACTTGTCTCTGGCAAACTGAAGTGCTGCTTGGCCCATTACTGGATAAGTGTTAATTACGGAGAGACAGGAGCTCAGTCTTTCAGGCTGGGTCTCCCACTCCTACCACAGAGGGGTTCAAAATGCAGCAGGAAGTTTCTCATGCTGCACATAACCCCTCTAGCTAAACACAGGGCAGTGATGAAACACTGCAGAGCACCTGAAAGCTGGCTGCCAGGAAATGTTCAGTGTGGCAGTGGAAGGAGGGAGCTTTTATCAGATGTACTTCAAAGAGACAAACAGAACAGTCTGGCAGGACAGAGAACCTTGTCCCCACATTTTTCCTCCCATTTTATACTGCTGGACTCGCATTTTGTGAAAAACATGCAAAATTCTCTTAAGTTCCTTGCTCAGACTGGCTCTGCTACCTCAGTCAGCACAATCTCCCTGGCACAGGGGTACACCCAAGGACAAAAAATTGTACTCCAAACAAACTGTAAGTGAGGCCCAACTAGGTAAGGAACATATTTTGCACATCACATACTACTGGAGCTTTAACAGGAATTCAAACTGAATTAAATTCATGCATTAGATGCTCAAATTTGAACTATTGTGAATGGCCTTTAACATTTTCAGGTTCTTGAGCTAGAGAACCATCCTTCCATTTCCCTCTTGGGTACTTGCAAGTGATCTGAGGATAAAAATGCTGTAGATAATGTTGGAGAAACCACCTCCAGCTCTACTCAGTCTCTTCCCCCTGGCCGGGCAAATCCTATTTTAGTCAGCCATCTGCGTCACTAACCTGGAACTAGAGCCTCTCTCTGTTCCTGCTACTGTGAATTGCAAAGAGCACAGTTCCCCACATCCACTTTAACCGCAGATCTGCAGGATGTAGCATGCCTTGGCCATAGAGGAAGCGAGGTCCCTTGCACTTAGAGACCAAATCACACTGGTCTGGACTAAGCAATGGTAACTGGTTGCAGTGTGGGCCACTGCCCTGATAACCAGCCAGCAGCAAACACACTGCTGCCCACATCTACACATGTGGTTGCTCAGTTGCTCACTCTGACAACCACAAACAGCAGATTATTTCTTCCTCCACAGCTGTTTGCACCCGTATTTGGAGAGAGCTCACAGCAAGTACCTCAGCTGTGTAACACCCTGCAGCAGCTGTGCAGAAGAATGCAAGACGTAGGAGAGGCACACCACGAGGCCTGTATGCACAGTGGGGTAACAAAGCTCTTGGGGTTATTAATCAAGTGCTGCTTTGTCCCTTCCTAAGCTCCAGGAACCTCAGGAGTTGGAGGCATTTGAGTCAGCAGTATTTATGGCTGTAGCCCCCAACTGCTTGATCAAGGACAAATCTGGCAGACGTTCCTGCAAAAGCTGCCCTTGAGCCCACACGAGCATTCTGATCAACAATTTCTCTTTGTGCCTCGAACCCTTTATGTCCTCTGCACACACTCTTCCCCACAACTGCAAACACTGCCACTGCTACGTGGCAGAGAGACACCATAAATCATTTGGAAAAAGAAACATGGAATTGAGAGTGCTGATACTTGGTTTGAGAATTGCAGGACAGGGAGAACACTCCATATATAAGTGTGGAACTTGAGCTATATTCCTGTTTTCCTGACCATTTTTCCTGGCAGTTCCTCATGACAGGTGAACTGCCTGCAGAGGCTCATAGATTGGCTGCTCAGTTTGAAACCCAAGGTTTCATTCTGCACAGAAACCACATGAGCAAGATCCTTTGAACTCCTACTCGTTGTTGGTCTGTCCTGCTTCAAGCCCAGACAGGGCAGCTGAGGCACCCTTTGGAAAGGAATAGCTGTTTGGAAACATCCTTCCTGTGAGTCATCACGAGGCTGGCAAGCAGACTGGAGAGGTGCAAGGGAACAGGGTCACACTGCAGGGCAGTCACAAGGTCAGGATCACAACCCCAAGCAGCTTCTCTCCCCCTCTGCCTGCCCCTTCAGCGCGTGGCTGAGGGGAGCGTGCAGACGAGTGAAGGATCTGCTCCCTGCCATACCACTGGCAATCCTGCCCTTGCTGCCTGCCAAACACATCTCTCCCTACCGCTGCCTGGAGGTGAACGGCTCAGCAGGAACAAGGTCACAGCTGTGTGCACTCCCTGCATGCGGCACCTACCCCAGAGCACAAACACTGCTGGGGAGAAGTGACACTGGCAGGTGCAGCAGCGCCTCTGATCATTGCCCTAATGCCAGAATGTGTTCTCAGATCTTGTAGCGAGACCTTACTGAAAGCATTTGCCACAAAACCAAAGCAGGAAACTAATTAAATGCTGCGCCTTCCATTAGGCTGAAAACTAGGTGGGTTCGAGCCATTTTGTTACTGCCTTCAATACTGAGCACAGCAAGGCGTTGGTCTCCCAGAGGAACCTCTGCCCACCCCAGCAATAAATAACTCTGGAAATAATGACTTGCTACAAATGGAAAAGTAGGCTATGATGCCAAGAGTAAATAAGCAAAATCTCTCAGCCTTTCCACATCTCCAAATGTGTTCAATCTGCCATCTACTGGCAGCTGCTCCCCTTATCCTGCCACAGAGCCCAAGAGGGAAAGCTGCAACGCCCCGCATTTATCATGTCAATGAACAACGTGCAACCTAATTTCCAGACTTTTATTATGTGATAAAAGAATAGGGATTTGCTCACAAACGTCAGGCACATGAACAAAAACCATGCCTGGCTCACAGTACGTCCCAGTATGTCAGTTCCTGAGACAAAGGTGAGGCAGCAGAGTAGGTCAGAGGAATGTAAGAATATGCACACACACGCACACTTACACACACATACCCCCTGCTCCAGATGTTGTAGAAAAACACTGCTGAAAACATCTCAGCACTAACCAGCAGAGAAGGAAAGGACCAGTGGCTGGTCTCACCTCTGTATCATCACTGTAGATGTAGTAGAGGACCCGGATGAAGATGTCTTCTGAGATGTTGTGGAGCGTCACCACAGGGATGCTGGGCTGCGTCTGCAGCTCCTCACTCTCACTGAAATGGTCTTCAAGGAGGGCTTTGAAATAATCACTGCGACCACAGAAAAATGCCTGGAGAGGCGAGAAAAACCAAAACTCACTTCACCAAACCAAAGGGCACTCCCAACTGCCTATCAGAGCAGCTGAAAGATATTTCAGAAGTTCAGACCCTATAGCTCTGATTTTCCCTTTATTTTGAAGCTACATCTCCAACATTTTTCCATACCTTATTCCTGTACACGCCTACTCTCAGAACCAAAACCACAATTTGCAAACTTAGGAGATTTGAAAATAGCATGACATTAGGGCAGGACCTTGAGTTGGAGCTTGGATCTTAAAATCTATTCTTACTGCTGTTCGCTTGCAGATCAAAATTCCACTCTCCAGACAGTGAACTCACAAGCAGCAGGAGATTTTTCAGCTGTGAACACTGTTGCTGAATCTATAAATTTATCTACTCACCTCTGCAAGAAAGGCAGGGTTTGCTGCTTGGTTAAATGCTTTAAATGTAGTTTTCCAGCTGCAATAATGCTTTTGGTTTTGCAACTGATGAGGCAATGCTGCTCCTGCAAAGTGTCTCCAGCATAAAAGGAGGGGAAGCACAGGTTGACCAGACTCACAGCAAAAAGGGAGGAGAAGGAGGTAGAGCAGAAGTACATACCTTATGGCACAAGAAGTTGTAATCTTCCACTCGGAAACACACATCAGCACAGCTGTTAAAGTTGTCAGTGCTGTCAAACGGCAACTCCCCAAAACCAACCTAGGAAGAAAAACCAGAAACCCCTGTCTATAACATTCATGCTTTAAACATGCTTTTTTCCACCTATTCCTTCAGCACAGTGCTCTGAACACAGTTCCATGTGAGGAACTGGAGAACTTGCACTCCTGATAGAGATATTCCTGGTACAGGTTACAGCTGCCTCCTTTATCCATGGAAACTTCATGATCCTCTGGAAAGTGTTTCAGTGCCGTTTAACAAGGCAGATAACCAAGTGGAGGCAAAGTTTATTTCATGTAGGAGGTATCATAAGCATACTTGAGCTTAGGACTAGCCTTTTACTGTGTATATGCTGTAACATATCGATTACATCGATGTATGCACCAGTTTGAAACGGTATGGCTACAATTACTGCCTCACTTGAATAATCCAATATTGCTAAAGCACATTTCAGATTTCTGTTCTGATTTGCAGCCAAAAATAGTGTTGTTGCAGTATTAATACTCTAGTGAATTATTTTAACACCAACACACCTCCACCCAGTCCCACATGCCAACCATGACAGCAGACACATACAAAAAAAAAAAATCTGTTGGCCTTATGTTACTTTAAAATGACACTTCCAAATATTTTCACTTTCACCTTCTCCTATATACAGGGTAATTAAATTATAACAACAAAAAAAAAAAGGTTATGTTCACAGTCATATAACCAAGACAGTCTCCAGAAGCAAAAGTTTCCCTGAGTTCTTCCTTTCCAAGCACACACCCCTGAGCTACCTGGGCCGAGGAGTTTATTCCTGCTGTGTCTCATCCAGGAAAACTACACCCAAGTTTGCAGCTGGGAAAACCCTGGGCTGACCATAAAGATCAGTTTCACAACCACAGACTACCTAAGCAACATTTCCAGCACGCCTGCCTTCAACCTGGCTAAAAGCAACTGACTTGCAGCTTTACTGAAGAGCCAGATGACTCCTCCCTCCCGAGCAGCCTGCAACAAAGACACAGCCTGCAACAACACACTGGGTTGGTGCTCTCAGCCAAGCTCAGCTCACGTGCAGTGAGGTTTCTCACAAAACAGGTTCTCGGATGTGGCAAGGCACCAAGCTGACAAAAACTCACACCACCAGTGAACATGGCAACCTGGACCCATTTACCAACCCCTTGTCTGTCCACAACAACACTTGGCAGCTTCTGATTCCCAATCAAAGGATAAGCCCAGTGACATTCAAATCGTGCACATGGCTGTCACAGTAACGCTGGCTCTCCATAGCACCTCTCTCCTTCAAGTCCTGCTCCACCTGTTCCAGAAGAGATGCAGCAATTCAAGGAATGCTGCCCACATGATCTATCACCTGCTTTTCATACAGTGGTAACACAAAGGGCACCTGCAGCACTGAAGATGAGATCAGATTGTCCCATCTGTAGATTCTCCATTATTATCTGTGCCTCATGTTTCAGGGATTTGGTCCTTGGTTCAAACCATGGTCTGGCAACCTGCAGCCTCACTCTGTGGCAATACATTAAAAACACCAGCATCATGATCCAACTGCCTGCTCTGTTTGCCTTGCTGCTATCCCCACCCTGTGTGACAGCTTCCATGTCCTCTCCTAGAAATTCTGACATGACTTCAAAGGCTACAAATTTGGAGGCACATCACAGGTAAAGCAAACCCACAAAGAGGCTTCAATAAGATGCCACTCTGTGGCACAGGCATTGTAACTGAGACAAACTCCTTGTCTCCTATGTGCATCCCTTCTTTGCTCTCCTTTCACTGCCCAAAAGTAAGTATCTAAAAGGAATCCATTCCTCTGTGGTGGACGTTGGAGTTTTATTTGTCTCAGAGTTTGTCTCCCTAATTACAAACTCTTCTGGGCTAAATTTTCTGCCTCTAGTCTTGCCTGGTCCCCACTCTGATGCTCAGGTTTACAGAGTCATTTCCAATTCTACTATAAAAGCAGGTTCATGTCTTTGTCTCTCCCATTCAGCATGAAGTGGCTTTGCAGAATTTTCCCTTTTACTCCCCTTTCAAGTCTCTACTACTTCTACTCTCCTCCCTTGTCATGCTTGAGGAATTTAATCTCCCTTTCAGGATCTCCCTGCAGAAAATTGGCCTATTCCTCCCACTACCCCTATTCATACAACCTCCTTCACATGCCTCTGTCCAGGCAAAGCACAGCTGCCAAAGTCAAGTATGCGGCCCAGGAAGCAAAACACAGTCTAACCTATGAAGTGCAAACACATTCCCAATAACTCAATCACCACACAGAAATATTCTCAACACTCTACAGCATAAGAGTGCTCGAACATTCCCAGTATCTTCCAGCCATCATGTGCAGAGAACCAAGTCTTCACCGCTACAGATTTCCTATTAGAGCTTAAATAGAAATGTTGCTGAAGGCAAAAACACACAAAACAAATCAGTGGCAGCAATTTGTACCTTGGTCAGATTATCTCAGCAAGAAAACTGTAAATAAATTACAACACAAAATACAGGGGTTATTAGCAAGAGAAGAGAAGCAGCTCATAACCAGATGCAAGGGGACTGGATATAAAAAAAAGTAAAACTGGAACCATGTTGTAAATAGTTCAGTTAATCTGCCTTTGCCAAATGGGCGAAGCAAAACACAGGAGTAGCTGCCATGGACAACCCCACAGCAGGTGCAGAGTCAGACATGATGGAACCCATCTACTTGTTTCAAACTGTTCTTCCTATGCATTACAAGACTTAGTTTTACCCCAAAAGTGACACATGGTCACTTTTTGGCAGCCACGCCAACTGACAATATAAATAAAGAACAGTATTTATTTCGTGGCAAACTGATCCTTTTTTTCATCTTGGTTTGGAACATAAGATCTCATTTAAAAGGTAATGGAAAAACAGTCACAAGAAAACCATGTGCCTACAGTCTCATATACTGGAAGCCCTGGAGTTTCTAACTCAGAGATGAAGAGCCAGACAGGCAGACAGTGGGAAGCCACATGGTTTTTGACAGCTGCCTGGCTTTTGATGATATTTTACTTAAATCTGCCACTGCTAAATTTTATTGCAACAAACCGAGAAAGCAGCTGTTGTAGTCAGAAAAATCCTGGCCATTACTACTTTAAAACAGAACAGAGACCACAACCACACTTGCAAAAACAAAACAGAGACAACAAACACACTTGCGGAAGCAAACACTGAAAAATACAAAAAAGGCTTTGAAGCATAAACAGGAAAGAGAAACAAGTTAGCAGAATTATAAACGTGTTTAAGATTTCAAAGAATAGATAGTTCTCACTCTAGAAAATAATAATGAACTGTAATTGGATATCAAATGTTCATTATTGTTTTAGTCACATATTACTGAACTATGAAACTGGGATGCAGTTTCCTGCGTCATTCAAGTATCAAAGAAATTACATGCAAATTATTTGTTTATATTGAAACAGAAAGCTGTACACATCTCCATTTCATATAATACGGTATTACATGACATGCAGAAGCTACAAATGTTTCTTGCCAGATTCTGGAAATTCTGGCCTTTATCCAGAAGCCAAATACCTATTTTGTTCTGCATAGGCCGGAAAAAAATAATGTATGTTTCTCTTGAGAACATGGATGTTTGTACGTGACTATTTAGTTATCCCTGACATTTTAGGTTACATAGTTTGTATACTATTCTTTGTATAGCAACAAACCCTTCAAGAATGAGGATGTGCAATGCCTCTGTCCCAGAAAACACATGCCTAATTCACAGAATGCAACAATTTGGAAACATTAGGATGAGATATAAATGGCATTAGGATGAAGAGCTTTCTTCATATACTCTTTGTAAGTTAACCACAAAAAAAGTACTGCAAAAAAAAGAGAGAAAAAAGGGAATCTTCTAGAATTTATCAGGCTTAAACAAAGTATCTACCTTTGTGCATGGCACACAAATTCTCTAGTGAGCAGATGTGTGCCCATGCCCTCTTTACTTTTACAGCCATAACAACTCTAATGCTTGCCTTCATTCTGATCTATGAACACAGCAAGAAAACCACAGCTCTCAATTCACAGTGCTGTCAGATGATTACATTATTGCAAGTTTCCTATTTTCCTTCCAGCTCCTATTCTACATGAAAGAATTAAAAAGCAAAGTGTTTCTAACTCTCTAGAACAGCTTAACCCAACAGGACCATGCCATTAAGGTCTGGAAACAAGCAATCAAACAGGATGTATTCTTTTTATTTGTGAAGTGACTTAAAAATTTATGTAAATCTCACTGTTTGGGGTCCTTTATCCTTTTTTTAATTCCTGGGGAGGTAATCTGAGGCTTACTTATAGTATCACCTCCCTTCAAAACCTGCAAACGTACAGAGGAGCATATTGAAAGCCACAAACAAATGCACGGTTATTTGGAGGAGGCAGGCTATGTAGGAAAGATTTCTGTACTGGTAATTGTAAACTCGATGGAGAAAAACTCCCTCTATAAAGAAATATGTCTGAAAAAAGCCAGTACAAAATATATTGGCCTATTAAGGTAAGAAACCTTATCCATGTACTGGCACACACATGCGCTGTTTTGCACCAGGCAAGTCTATTTGGCAGGGGACAGAAAGAAAAAAGGCAGTAAACTGTGCTGTATCACTCAGACATACAATCTCTGGGCATGGCAGCCACCTAAAACGAGTTCACATTATTAAATACAGTGGTTGGTATGAGAATGAGGGAAAAAAGGGCATTTAATTAATTTTTTAATTAATTAGCCATCAGCGCGCTTGTAGCAAGCGTGGGTAGAGCCCTTTCAAATCTTCGTTCGCGAAGCCTAGCCATGATGATGATGATGATGATATGATCATATATATGATCCTAATTAATAAAACTGATGGTATTTTAACACAGTCATCATCAACCTGGGGGACTATTTCTAAGGGTCAAGACATAGTCAGGAAAAGCAGATTTATTGCCAGTCAAGTTAAATTCTCTTCAGAGGGACTCACATTTCTGCTGGAAATACTTTCAGGGTTTGAAAGCACCTCTGCACTGCAGAGCGTCAGTCCCCAGCAAGCCACCTTCTACCTGCATGTCCCTTTGGGTACCAATGCCTGCTGCTAAAACACTTCTAATTCTCAAGAAAGATGGCACAGAGAAGAGCTGAGGGTCAGCTCTTGTCCCATTGTAGTCACTGGGGAAATCCCCCCCTACCCACATGAAAAGGGGTTTATTTACAAGATCCCTGCTGGGGGGAAAATCCAAGGGGAAGGACCAGCACTGACAGCCCCATTAAACAATTTTACAACATTTCCCAGCAACAAAAGCCTTTCAGCTCTTGCAGCACAAGAAAACTAAACAAGCACTAAACTCTACATGGCAAAACACAACCAAACACACGTGCCCAGATATCCCAACCCCACAGAGAGCAGAAGGAGTAGAAGTGCTCCCTACCCGCAGTTCGGCTGGCAGGGCGCAGTCTGCCAGAAGAGCCAGATCTTCCTGCAGCCGGCAGTTACCTGTGGGCTCAATCGTCAGCACTTTCACACAGGTCCCTGGCTTGGAAGAGACTGGAAGAAGCAAAAAAAAAAAAAAAAAACAGAGCAGAGATGCCTAAATTCCTCTATAAACATTCTCTCCCGTTTAGATAAGGGACACTCCAGGAAAATCAGTATTGCTATGTGGCTTTTACTACAAAACACACACAATTCTTCTATGTAAACACACGCTCAGCATCCCTCAGTGCAGTTGGTGAGCACGGCTAGAAGGGGATACACATACTGTTGTCTCCGCTCAAACCTCCACTTAATTCTTTATGCTGGAATATCAACTGTGGGAAACACAAAGTTGTCACAGGCATATTTCAAGCCCAGCTTGCTCTTTGCAATCCATGTCACCAATTACAGTTAAGGACCGTGGATCAGGATACCCTCATCCCTGTAGGAGCCACTCATACACTGCCTTCCCCAGCCAACCACGCCTACTGCTGACGGTGTCACCTAAGGTGAAGCCCATGCCAGGAAGTTCTTAGTTAAAATTAATCTGCTTCCATGCCTCTCTCACGTGCTCTAATGGGTCCCATTTCAGCTGTGCCATCCTAACTTCACTGCAGGAAACAAAGGGATTTATTCTTGTTTAGCCAAAAAGTTCTGCATGCTCGAGTCTGTCCTCTACTCTCTATCTGTAGATCCCCAAAGCACAAAGACCCCCAAAAGCACCCAGACTCTTGCATGTGCCTGTGGTTCTCTGCAAATGTTAAATAAGCACCACTACCACCAAAGAGCTCAGATAAACCATTCAGAGATGGCAACTTCATTTGTCTTTTTCAGACTTCCTGTGTCTTCCTGTCTTGCTCTATCAGCCTACTCAATAAAACAGCCAAATAAAGGGAAAGCAAAACCACGATCATACTTTAGTGGCCTTGTTACGATCAAAGTTCTCGTGGAACTCACAGAAGCCAATCTTAACTTCAAACAAGCAGCAGCTCAAAGTACAGCCAGATACTGTGTTACGATACCACCACCAGCACAGCCTTCCCTCTTTCTGGCCACCTCCCTCCCGCAGCTCCCCACCTCAGGTTTGTTTCCAGGTCAGCATGGTTTGGAGTGAGGACTAGAATATGTACAATGTTCAAGAGTCCCTCGTATATAGAGAAGTTTGTGAAAAAACACAGAGTACCACTGGAAAATGCACAGTTGTGGTGAGGAAGGCTTGAGATGCTGTTGGGAGCCAGAGAGATGCAGAGTTAACTCCAAGGCATTCAGAAGAATTTCTGACAGGTATGATTCATGGCATTAAAACCCCTCACAGGTGAATCACGGCACCTTGAGACCTCATTTCTCCTGACATTTTGCGTAGCATTACATGAGCTCCATCGGATGACTCCATTGGGTCGTGGGCGAAACCAGACCACAATGTGCCACAAAACAAGTTGTCCACCCCCTCCTCCACATCCACCCTTCAGATATGCCACCACTATACTTTGAAATAGGCTGCACATCCCAGAGAGATTACTAAAAAGAGAAGGATAATCTATCAGTACAAAATAGCCAGGTACCATGATTGCTACACACAAAGCTCACCAGCAAGGAGAAAGGCTGCCCTATTAGCACGAAACACTACCCTCAGATAGATGACTTCCAGGGTAAATAAGCCAAGAGGAGACCTGGCACCAACACAAACCAGACTGAGTGCATTTTCTCAAAGAGCCCTGTCCACTTACAGACCAGCGTGAGAGAAGCAAATTTCTCACTGTGAAATTAGAAATTGTTTTTGGCAGAGAGAATAATTTGTATTTCTGTGGTGCTTCTTGTAACAGTCACCAGATCAGCCAGGCTCTGTAAGTGCTAATGGACCCATCAAGTTTTAAGCAGAGTTGTTCTCTTGGGATCCACAGAGCATCTGTGCCCTTTCACAGCGACACACAAAAGAACAGTGATTTGTCTGAGAAGCAAATCTACTCAGACACTGCATCTCTCAAATACAAGAGAACAGCATTTGATATCACAGGCAAATCTTTCCTCACAGAGACAACAAAAATCAAAGTGGTGAAACAGGAATAAGCTGTCAGCTGCCAGCAAGCAGTAGGGTCCATGACCTTGTTGCAGGAAAGAGGAATGAAGGGGGTTCTAAAAAAAGCAGCAAAAACAATGCAAGGAGATGGAGGGAACAACACAACTATGGCTGACGTTGAGAATAGAGGATTTTATCTTTCTTCCCTGTCTAGACCAGCTGCACAGCACTGAACATCACCTACCACTTCACGAGCTGCCTCGGTTTTATTGCTCAGTACTTCTCTGTAGTCTTCTGTTTAAATTAAGCCAATGCACCACAAAACATAAGAGCCACAAAAGCCACACCAAACTCCCAAACCCTTCAAAATGATGCCACACTCAGACACATCTTCCTCCCAATGCCACAATTAGCTATAACCACAGATTCTGTACAGCCTGTGTCTCTGCTACAAAGGCAAGCATGACAAACCTTGTTCTCACCCTTTTTGCCCTAAAACTTGCCAAAATAACTGCTAAATATTTAATTTCTAATACATACGCTTCTAAAGGAAGGATTATGGCTTAATTTGGACAAATTGTTTGAGCTCTTCCAAACACTGCAAGTTTTTTCTCATTATAGTCACAATCCACATGTGGAGGAAAACAGGCAGGCATTCATACCCAAGTATATCTCAGGTGAAACAGAAGGCACTGGGTCATTCTCTTCCTAAACTGTCTGTGCATGCCAAGATACTAAGTGCTTTTGAAATACTGATTAACTCTAGATAATGAGATTGCAGAGACTACAATTATCCAGTGGAGCTGCAGAGGCTTGAGTGCTGTTTTCACGTTTCAACTTCATAATACAGATGCAAGACATGGCCTTGCTCTGCAGACCTGAATCAGATGTCTGTTCCACACGAAGCACTTTGAGCAGGCAGAGGTTTCTAACCCACTCAAAGTAATGCTTTGTCAAGTGTCAGACATGATGTGATCTAAGATCTTTCCAATTTTCAACTTCTTAACTCTTACATATATTAATTTCTGCAGAATCAAGTTTTCCTGGTTTCCATATGAGATCTGATATAACAAACAAACTTTTAAATTCAACCTGTCATAAATAAAAATTAAGCTTAGTATTTCCATCAGTGCTTTACACCATCCATTGAGTATGTCTTCTGTCAGGCCTCAGAAATGAAGAGTAACTCCTCCCACCCCAAAGAACACAGAAATTAAATTATTTGTCTGATGCCATCCAGGAAATTTGCATTACATTTCCAAGTGGATCTTGTATCAGAAACTTCCAACTAACCTGAAACTTCATCATTTTCCTTTTTAAACCCCACCAAGAAGTCAGCTTTCCTGAAGTTCACAAATTTAAGCACATTATTTTCCTCCCACAATACAACATGAGATTTTAACTAGATGAATTAAGGTGTAATGGTCGCCTTCATTATCTCAGTTAGATCCTGGGAAAAAAGATAAAAAGGAAAAAACAGATCTCCAGCATCTCACTGAATTACTCTGACATCAAAAGTTGCCACAAAATAATTTTGTTACCTGGTTGTCCGAGTAGATTTTATTTTATATCCATTCACTACTCCCCCTTTCTACCACTTACTTAATACAAACCGGTACCTCACACTTTTTGTAGCAAGAAACCAAGAAATGCATTTCTCATCTCTTCAGATCCATGTTTACATTTGTGTTTACATGGCAGAAGTAAGACTTATGACACAGCTTCCATAAGGACTTGAATCCTGGTCTACATGGGAATAGCTGCACCTCAGTGATTGGGTACCCCACCACCACCAAACAACTGCACGTGCCCAAGGGAGACATACACATGGTAATATCTGCCATGGGATCTGTAGATGAGGAATTTCTGGAACCAGAAGTATTCTCTCTCTCAGTTGAGCCCTGCAGCTTCAGGAGGTCGAATAATCACAACAGGTATTCAAAAGGGGAAGGTAGAATAGTTAGACCCTTACCTCTTAGATCAGGGAAGAAGATGCTATTGACTTTAAAGCCACAGACTGGAGTCTCTCCTCAAACTAAAATTAACTTGACTGAAGTAAAGGATTTAACTCAGAGCACAGAATGATAATCAGATTTTTTCAGCCTGAAGGTTTTGTTATCCGATTTTTTTTTTTTACTTCATGAGTAACACCACTTTGCCCTATTGTGCTGTTTTGATTCCTCTTCACGTGTCTCTTAGCTCGAGCTAAGGAGATGATGATAAACTCCAACTGCTGGTTTTCATGCAATAAGTTTATGTCGTGATTAGGTCACAAGCTATTTGGATAACAAAAATCCTTAAATAGAGGATTGTATCACTTAAGGTTTGGCACATCCATGTGTTATTAATACACACACGCTTTCAGAAACACTTTTCTGCTTTTAAAAGATGCGTTATAACTCCCTATGCACCCGCTTCAGGCCAATTATCAAACATTTTACTTTAGTTAGGGGTCAGACAAACTCAGAAAATGACTTTTAATTGTACGTATTTTATCTCTCCAAGGACTGAAACAAGCTCTCTGCTAAAAGGCACTTCCCAATATACCCCACCATGCTCCAATGAATGTCTGGTAACCACAGCAAAGTCCTGCTACCATTATAATGAAAACACTCAATATAAATGATAAACATGCTTGTGTCAGAAACCACTACAGCTGCTCTACAGAGAGGCCATGACTGAAAACTATTATGCAAACATGGGAATTCCACAACAGAATCATTTTCTGGAAGGCCCCAGGGACACCATGAAACATCCACCATCACACCTCCCTGTTTCTCCCTGAAAGGACACACAGGCACAGCAGAGACAACAGCAAGTAAAATGCTTACCAAATTCATAGACTTTTTTACATTTGGTCTCCAAATCATCAATGAGGTCCTGCAGCCGACACTGCTTGGCTAACCTCTTGCAATCATTGACATATTCTACGTCGATATCAAGACGACCTGTCAAGAAGGAATGCAGTCAGCTCTTCTAACCCATGGGCTTAGGTGTAAAAATGGTAAAAAATTACGGTCTGAAGACTTGATGGCACAGAAATTAAGTAGTTACATTTCCTCACTTTTCAGCTGGGTTGAGACTCAGTCCCAGATGCTAAGACTTGGTACCTCAGCACCCACCACTTAGCAATTCCAGTTTGGCATTTAATTCACATTCCCACTTTCCAGGGCTTATCCTAATAGCTTCATTCAAGAGTACAAAGACCAAACAGGCTACACAAAATATGCCTAATTCCCTCAGAAAAGAAAAAAAATAGCAGCACAACAGCAGCAGGCATGACTGCCACCACTGGCTGCCTGGCTTTGGGTAAGAGAAGACTTTAGGCTCATAAGTTGTCATCCCAGAATCTTTTACAATCACAGAAAACATGTCAAGGAACATTACTGAACACACTGGACTGGGGAAGGAGAACCTTGCAGAAAACGTTATTTTCTGGCACCCCCTCCTGGCCTGAGATAGTTCAGCACTTAGCATACCCACAATACAACATTAAGCATTTTCAGAGAAGGTTTGGGATCAACTTCTGTTCAAAAAAAACCTCTATAGAGAGTAGTCAAAGCATTCAGCACACATTGCTCAGGTCTGCCAGACTGAAAATGTTTTATGTGGGAACTTGGCTTTACCTTCCTTAAGTTAAAAATACATTCTCCAAATCCACCCAACCAGTCAACCTAAGCTGATTTTGTTTTTAATTGATTGTATAGTCACTGGCAGGAAAACAACTGGCAAAAGGTACAGACAAGTTGGAAGAGCTGGTGACTGCTCACATTCTCCCCTTCTGCCAGCAGGGAGGATGTGCTGGTGACTGGTGCACCCAAACACAGCCAAGTGCAGCCTGGGCCACTCAAACAGTGCTATGGCAGGGGCACAGACAGCTGCCCACCAGCCATGAACACGTACACTAGAGGGTTAAGTCATTTACCTGTGTATAGATACTGCAGAAGAGCACCAAAGGCTGCTGGATTAATCTAAAAAAAAAACAAAAACCAACAAAACCCATGAGAAAGTTGCCATTAGAATTCCCAGAACTTAACAACAAACTTGAAACATGATCCTGAACAGCCAAAAAAACCCCACTTAAATAACAACTCACACACTGCACCCAATTTCCTTGCTCCTCATGCTGCCACTCCACCTGGCTTACACAGCTCTTCACTGTATTAACTGATACTAATCCCGCAAGTGCCTCAGGGGACAGGACCTAACTAATGGAGGTGCTCCAAAGACATGGTTGTAATACAGGCTCTGTAAAATCCAGCTTTTCACTGGTCATAAACATTTCCACCCCTTCTTAATATGAGAGGAAAGACATGTTCTTGCACAAAGAGAAAGGAGAGCAACATCCAGAGAAACTGGAAGTATGTTTGTTAGAAGAGGTTTTGCATGCCAGAGTCAAGGTACAGAAATGTGTGCTGGATTGGTGTTCGTGATTAATGGATTGAATGTACTTATGGCCTATTTAATTATTACTGCAAAGACAACAAAAGGGACTCAATTAGTACCAATTATGGAGGTGATGTCTTCAGCACAGACCACCTGTCCACCAGGAATTGGACAGACTCAACTAATCCCACAGGGGGGTTGAGATGCAGCTGGCAGATGATAACAGCTACCTGGTACTGCAATTAAGATATGTGACAGAAAGAACAAAGAGAAAGTATGCAGTCTGCAGCCTTTTTTTATCTACATAAGATGCTATTTACTGCATAAAGCCCTTCTCCTCAACTTGGGTCATTCTGAGCTCCAGGAGTTACTCACTGTGGAAGTTAACCCTCAAACTGTCTTTCCTACTCACTTTTCTCACGCAGTTGGAACAGCAAAAGAAAGGAAAGAACTGGAAAAACAATCCTGCTCACCAGTGGATGCTTCAACACTATCATATTTTTCCCCTTCCATTTGGTCTCAAACATCTCTGCAAAGTAGGCGCTGCGAGCGCTGAGGATGCAGCGATGGGCACAGAAGGATTTGCCATGAACAATGAAAACAATGTCGCTTTGGTAACCCTGCTCCAGCAACCTGTGAGGGACAGAGAGAGAATGAGACAGGAGAGAATGGAGTAAAGCTAGTGGGGGACATGGTACAATCAGGTCTAAATGAACAAATACTTCTGGGCACTGCAGTCTCTCCCTGACCAGTGAGAAGGCCAGCACTGGGGCTGGTCCTTCATACACTAGACTGGGATTTGTCCATCCCTTTGATGACTCAAAGAAGTTCTGTTAGTGCAAAAAGGCTGGAGAAAGAAACCTTCCTGCCTTAGGGGACCACCTGAATGCAGGGAACAGATTTTAAAGTGGAACTAGTTGCCCCCAAACACATCTCCACAAGTTAATCCTGCTTTTCAATTGTCGGATGACAAAAAAGCTCTGCAGAAGGACACACTTTCAAAAGTCATTACCTCACTACAAAGTAAGGTGCAACTTTCCTGCTCTCTGGACACTATCAGTGAGCATGCTTTAACCATGCAGCAAATAGGAGAGGACTTGATGTCATCCACCCTCAGAAGAAGGAAGGATGTGACAGGCATGAAAGGCAGGCAATTACCACATCAGAGGGGAAGTATTCTTTAGGACTGCATGCCCATGCTCCTTTAAAAGGAAAAAAACAAGACTGCTATTTCTAGAGTTTACAGTAACCATCACTGGTGTTTCCTAATGCCTTACATATTGCATATATATCCTCACAAACATCCCCAAGAGGTGGAAACAAGTGGACATCAGGCATAATATTTCTTGTAGAGAGCAGTGCTCTCTAGTACTGGTGCACAGAAAGGTGTGGGTCACATAACAATACGGTGTCAGAGCAGAGTCTTGATTGCTGATCTCAGTCTCCTGTCACTACAGCATCCTTCCTACTAGTGTCTTGCCCAAAACCAAAAGGAAGCATTAGGGGGTTATTTTTTGTCCCCCCTACTATTGCCCTTTGTCTCAATTTTAACACAAGGTCTGCCTGGTATGAGAAGCAGAAACCAGCACATTTTAGCTTTCATGTGTGCTCAACCCTGCATCATCTGAGCCACAGAGTCACCAGTGCAATGATAAATCATCCTGAAAAATTTTACTCCCCTGAAAGCCAGAATCTGATTCTACTCAGATGAATGAGTTTCCTTCCTTCCCTCCTTCCCCACAGTTTCAGAAATTAGGACTCTGGAGTAATGGAAAGATTGTCAGATCTTTCTAGGACTTACTAGCTCTCCAGTTTCAAAGATACAAATGTTGAAACCTTGTGGGGTTTTTTAAGTCAGTCCAGTGCGAAATAAAAATGAAAAAAACCTCAAGTCTGTGCAATAACATCAGAACTACCAGAGTAGAGAAACAGCAAGAAGATTGACACTATTTTTCTACTCCTAAGCAAGTTAGGCTGCTACTTATGCTCTAGACTATGACTACAATGTATGACAGGCAACTTTCAGAAGTATCTTAGAATTAACAGATTTTAATGAACAAAAAGAAAAAACTGAACACTGTCACTATGAGTCAGTTTGAGGCTTCTTAAAGTGCTCTGTATTCCACAAATAAGAAAACTGTTACCAATGTTGAAAACCTCTGCTTGCAGGCTATAGCACCTTCAGGCCTGAAATTTCATTTCAGTTGATATATTATCCTAAATTGCTGATGTGGTTTTAGTGACCTGATTTTAGTTTGACAGTCAATGATGACAGCTTAGTGCTTCTGAATTTTAAAGACCAGTTTTCTTTGGCTCTAGAGTCTGTACCTCAGTCACCAGAGGCTATATTTTATATGCACACACACCTGGAAGCCATCCTTTATGGCGCAAAGAAACATCCCTTAGGAAGCTCTACATGCTCAGGAATGAGATAAGAGTACTGATCAGTTGACTTTCAGAGCCGCCCTTAGCAGAACGCTCAAATATGCAGGTTAGCAGCTAAGGAAGGATGATGGAATGCTCTGCACATGCCTCATCTGCTTACCTCTGCAGGAAGACATCATAGTAGTCTCTCCTCATGCACTTTGCTGTGATTTGTTTGTACTCCTTCAGCAGACGTCGGATAGCGTCACTCAGGGCTCCATACAAACACCGCTCCCCGTCAAAAGTGTTGGCCTCACATTTCGCTCCTGCAAAACCACCACAGGTATGTGCCAGTGGGCACAGTTAAATCCTTCTCAAGTGTCCCAGGTCGTCACTAAAGGAGCATGACTTCTGTCTGGCGACACGTTTCACTCTGATCCCCTGTGCTGCTGAGCATATCTACAAAAACTAAGCTTCTCTCACATGTGTACAACCTAAAGCTGTTGTCCCACAGCCAAATCCCTTTCTGAAGATGTCATGACTCATTTGTCATAAAATGACCTGGGTACTAAGCCTCTCAGCATGGCTCCAGCAGTGTTCTGGGAGGACAGATCTTACTTTACAAAGAGTATGATCACTTCCTGGACTGTTAACAGGTCCTCCTAAAAAGCATTTCTGCTTTGCATAAGGCAGAAGATGCCTCTATAGTTTAGACTCTGCTAGAAATTTGGAGGGCATTTGCATTTTGCTATTTTAGAATTGCCCAACTGGTTGATTAAGATGCTGTGAATGCAATAAAAAAGACAAACCTTTTGAGATCTGACTCTGCACTCTGATTTCTCTGCCAGAACACCACCACTATGCAAGGGAATTTTAGTGCTGGGAACCAAATGGGCAGGCACTTGGCCTGGATTATTTGCCTTGCTGCATTTGAGATTAGCAAAATCCCTTGCATTTCACCTTTAAATCCTGCTTACAAAGCCAGACTATCAGAACAGTACAAGAACATTTTACACAGACAATTCTTCACATGAAGCACAACCCTACATCAGCATACTCCCAACAGCAATGCACCCTCAAAAAACACCAGCTGTGATTTCAGAAAGTCATGCTGCCTTGAGCCACCACAAGAAAGCTTCCCTTTCTGTGCATTTTCAAGACTTCAAGCAAATCAAGAAATTTCAATCAATTTCAGGAAGCAAATTCAAGCAGCAAATGGCCTGCAAAAGGGACCATGAAAGTGTGTCCAGGACTCCTACTGCAGCCTGAGATCGCTGATCAGATGGTTGGTGGTAACAGAAGAAGTTTCCACAAGGGGCAGCCAGAAGGATATCCAATCCCAATGGACTGATATGGATAAAGATACTGCACCCATAATCAGAACACTTTTGCTCACCATTGGCTAGAAGATAGCGTACAAGCTCCTCATGTCCACACAGGCAGGCATAATACCTGACAATAACAAGAGAAAGACAATCAGATACAGCAGGAAGCAAAATTCAGTATCTAGGCACACCAGGGCACACACACCACAGCAATGAGAGCATCCCTGAGAAGCTTAGAAGATGACTCCTCTTAGGAGTAAGGGGTTGCTACTCAATAGCACAGGAGTCTGATCCCAGCAACAGACTAAGCAGGATCTGTTCTCAGCACTCTTAGGCACTGCAAGGAGATCTCAAGGTCCCAATCTAGGTCCTGCATCTTCTGCTGCACTACCAGCTGCCAAATCCATACTCATTTTAATGGAGACCATTTCACAAGCACTCAGCATTTCTACTGAATTCTCAAACACACTTCTTGCTCCTTCTGCTGTCTGACTGCTGCACACTGTGATGAGGAGGGAACAGCACTCACACTGGATGTACAGCAAATCCACTCCTCTAAGTCCTACTTAGGATGAGTTTTGTTTTCTCTTTTGTGGTCTGAGCCTTTCATGATTCTCCTTCACAAGCACCTCAAATACTCCTATAAATTAGGAGAATCCTGTAATGTGCATTGCAGCAGCCAAATGTTAGTCTACATTTACTTTGGGAAGTTATTCTGTACTCTAAATATACTGCAGATGTCTAAATGCACTTTGGAGTTGTGGGGAGCTAAAAAGCTCACACCTTGCTCCTCAGCACCTGCACAGGGATTCTTCTTCTTCTACTGCATGTTCAGAGCCTTGCCAGACACACTGTGATCCCCCAGTCATTTTGCATTTCATCAAGCCAAGCCGTCACCTGAAAAGACATACTAGAATGCCACAGACTTTGATGGGGAAATAGCCTAATCTAGCCAAGAACAGAGTGCTTAATACAGGTAATCTGGTTCACTAAAATGAACCACCCTTCTGAGCATCACTACAGCAAGTGTCAGTCAGATGGGGAGACAAAGACATATTTAGCACAGCACTGGCAGAGAAGAGAAGCAGAACTATGTAGCCAAAGCTCCCGAAAAGCAGAACCTGAGACATTTCATAACAGTGCTCGTGGTTGCTGCTGCTGAGAGAGCAACAGAGCTCTGAAGGCCTTACACCCCACCCAGCCAGCGCTCCAGGCTGCAGCACTCACAGGGGGGTGCTGTCCCATTTATCACGGACATTAATTTCCACATCTCGCTGTTCAAGAAGGTATCTGGAAGAAAAGGAAGAGCAAAGTTATAACTTCATGCAGCTCCTCAGTCACATTCCCCTCTTTCAGAAATGTAACTTTGAGTTCATACAGTAACTTCCAAAGGTATGATGGGGTCTTGCATTGGATTTGGGGAGCTGTCAGCTACAGCTGAAGGGGCATCAGTCAAACCTTCAACCCAAAGAATGGTGTTCTGCAGCATGGTCTGGCAGCTCCCTTCAATCTTAAGTGGTGCACATGGGGAAAGAATGGAATCAAACCCACCCCCAACAGGTCAGCAATCACAAAAGAAGCCTGAGCACTTTACCTTCTCTTTCTCCAACTGTGTTCACAGCCTGGATGCTTACAAATAAGTGGTTAATTCCACAAGGCCAAAGTTGGACTCCCATCCTGCTTCTGGCTTCCTGACACAAGCAATAGCACCAGTGTCACTCCAGGCTGCTCTGACTTCCCACCACTTCCTTGTCCTGCACATTTAGGATAGATCAAATGCTGCCAACACTCCCTCTCTGGCATTTCTAGAATCCAGGCTTTGCCTTGCAGACAAATCTCCTACACAGCCTGGCTCTTGTCAGAGCCTATCCCCAACTACTGCAACAACCACCTCTGCTAACCACACATAGAAGTCCCTCTCAGCTTTCATAAAGATTCTCAAGTTTTGGCTTTTTTATCACCCACCACATCAGTCCTCCCTTTCACTCCCTTCATCTTTCCTGCCACAAATGCCAGGTTCCTCTGACCGCATCCAAAATCCCAATCAACTCAGCTCCTTTCTACTCAGTCCCACGTGTCTCCCCTGCTTTGACAGCATTTTCAGACAAACCATTTCTCCATTATCACTCCTACACTGGTCATCTTAAACCTCTGCAAGGTCACCCTCCAGACCCTTTCTTCTGCAGTAAACTACAAGCAATTTACTGCTTGCATGATTATGATCTAACAAACATAATTACAACAGATAACAATGTTCCCCAGATCTCATCTATCTGCACACTTGTCCTGCATTAGCGAGCACCTTGAAACAGAGGCTCCTTCTGATTATCCGGAAAGATCCACATATTGGTAGATGGAAAAATCAAGGTGAAGGAAAGTCTTACACTCAAACCATGAGATGCAGAAGAGTCTGTTGTAAACCCTGGGCCTTTGTATGGCCACAACCCTTCACCCTGCAGACATCAAGCCCATGTGTCCTGATCCAAAATCACTACAGCTGAGCCATGCTGCTCTGACGTGAGCAGGGAGACTTGACCTGAAATTTGGCATCCCGGTATTTCTCAGAGATTCTTCCCACAGTCTACATCACAAGGTGCCTAAACATTTCCACGACGATTGCTTCCCAGGGATCCAGCTTCCTACCAACCCAAACACCGTCTGAGTAGAGAAACAGCAGCTGAAGAGAGGAGCCTTGTGCAAGGCCATTTGCCGCTGGCAGCAGCGTTCACACCCGCGGGTACGCAGTGACCCGTCTGACACTCGGACACCTGGCAGAGACCCCGCACAGACCGAAGCAAAGCCCCGGTGCACACGCAGCTCCGCGGGGTGCAAGGTGCACTGACGTGTAAAGAACCAAACGGCTCTCCCCGAGGCTGTGAGAGGCGCCGGGGAGGCCTGGTTGGGCTTCAGGTAAACCCGTCCCGGCGAGGCCCGCCCGCCCCGGCAGGCCCGGCCCCGCAGCCCGGGTGACCAGCGGTCGGTACGGGGGGGACGCCGGGACCCGCTCCCCGCCCGGCCCCGCTCACCGCACGCGGCTCACGTCGCCCTTCTTGCAGCTGGTGAACAGGTCGCTGGTGTCCATGGCCGGGACAGGCGGCGGGGCGGCGGCGCCGCATTGACGCGGAGGGCGGAGGAGCGGGAGGGCAGCGGGCCGGGCCGGGCCGGGCCGGGGGGCAGCGGCGGCGGGGCGGGAGCGCCGGGCGATGTAAACACGGCGGAGCCACCGCCCGCCGGGCCCAGCGCCGGGACCCGCAGCGCCCCCCTGCGGCACGGAGGACCAACTGCAGCCCGGGCCGCCCCTGACACGCGTGGAACGCGGCCCCGGGAACGGGGCCTGATCCGGGACACAGCCGAGGGGGGACCCGGCCCAGAACGTGGATGGGGGGTGGTCTGGAGCCACATGGCAGGGCTCCCTCTGGACCATGTGCAGTTGTAATGAGAGGGGATCTCGTTAATCCATATAAATATCCCCAAGGTGGGTGTCAAGAGGATGATGCCAGACTCTTTTCGATGGTGCCCAGCGACATCATGAGGAGCAATGGCCACAAACTAAAAAACAATAAGTTTCACCTCAACAGGAGGAAGAAGTTCTTTACGTTGAAGGTGGCAGAGCACTGGAACAGCTGCCCAGGGAGGGCCTGGAGTCTCCCTCTCCGGACACATGCAAAACCTCACACAGATATGTTCCTGTGTAAGCTGGTTTAGGTGACCCTGCCCTGGCAGAGGGCTTGGACTAGATGATCTCCAGAGGTCCCTTTCACCACTAAAAATTTTGCGATTCTCTGTGGGGTCCAGCTCTGGAGCAGGTGTGGGATGGTGGGGAGCTAGATGGGACACACATGGCACAGGGCTGGGCACGCATGCAGGGGCTCTGCTCTAGAACAGAGGCTCGTGCTAAGCCACCCAAGCAGGAAAGATGGGTCCTGAGCTGGTCCTGTGGGTACTGGGTAGGGCAGCCCAGGGGGGGAAGCCACTTTCCCACAGCCTGGGCACCTGGCACAGCTCAGGGTTTCCACAGAAATGTGGGATGCGAGAATTAAGCAGTGAACTGTGGGGAAGGGGGGGTGCCAGGCTGACCAGCCCCATTTCAGCAGAGGGACCTTGGCTGACAGTGAGTTACCAGATGCAACACACGTGAATTCAAGCAGACCTAGTCAAGCAAAGCACTGCACTCGGGTCAGTGTTCAGACACCCAGTAGGTGCATTTTATTGCAAAGAAAACAAAACCACAACCCTGTTACTTCCAGGGCCAGACACGAGTGTTTCTAAGCAATCCCAAGCAGTGGCCAGGGCTTGCAGACAGTTTAGGTCCAACAGCAATGAAGGTGTTGAGAAGAACGGCTGGGAGCCTGGCTGTCAGCTGAGATGAGCCCACGAGACCCTCATGAGTCAGCACAGATGAAGGAGCTTGTTGTCTCTGTTCCAGCTGCCCCAAACTCTCTGTGAAGGAGACATGTGCTCCTGCCTGGCTGCAAAGGCAGATGGGAACAGACGAGTTGCTGACAGCAGTGGCTGCCGTGGGACCCTGCTGCAATGCTCTAAGGTCAAATAGACTTGCAATAATCCATAGGATAACATACCTTCATTTCACACTGTATTATGTGCCAGAGGGATCCTTAAAGTGGTATCTTGAACTGAACCTGCATTACATACTCCACAGCACAGTTACTGGGTCACTCCTCATTGTTTCTTTCCACCATACCCACCACAAGGCAGCATGCAAGATGCAGGATCCTGGAACACGTTAGACTCCACATTACAGATGCTGTTCCAGACATCTGGGCAACATCTCGGAGTAATCTGTAGCTTGGCCATCCCAGACCGCATCTGGCCACCATCCCACAAACAGAGAGCCACTCTGATCTTGGCTATACCTCCCGATGATGCCATCACTGACGTTCCCCGAGGCGTGCGCTCCTCACACCAGCACCCAGTGCTCTCTCTGAAGAACCACCTTCACTTCAAGCCAGAGTTTCTGCCTTCTAGCTACTGGTCCCAAGGAGCAGAGGAGGCAAGTGGAGGACAAAGCAGGAAAATGGAGCTGAGACTCTGTATTGCTACCCAGGTTCTCCACACCGGTGACTCCAGAAAATGTGCCATCTCACTGTTTTGCAGACATGTCCTCACACAAGCCATCCCTGACATGCCTGATGAGAGCCCCTCTGCTCATAGGCAAGTCCTGCAGCCCTTCATGAATAAAGCAGCTGACTGTCCTAGGCAAGTCACAGGAAACAAATATCCAGAGCTAAAAGAGGGCAAACTTTGGGGGGTTTATTATTTTTCGTCTCCAACTCCCAACAGCCACCAGGTGTCACTGCGATCAAACGTTTGGCAGATGGAACTATGGTGATGTCCGAATAGGTGGCAAACAGTTTTCCAGGAATTGCTTTGTCTCCTGTATCTGCTCTGTCGCCTGGCACACCACTCTGAGAAGTCCAGCTTTAACAGTTTTTGTTAAAAAGAAGTTTAACTACATTAAGGTGATAGAAAAGCTTCCTGTTACAAATGCTAAGACAAAGTTTTTCTTCCTCCCTGTGCAGAGCTGGAAACGCAAGCACTGAACAGAGTAAGTGGGCTATCCAGCTCTTTACAGTGCTCCCCAGCCCACAGGTCCCTGGAGATGACCCATCTCTGCAAGGCTGACAGGAGAGGGACAACAGTGCAATCGACTTGAAAAGATCAGCCTAGTGCAAAAACTGATACAGAGAAAAAAACAAACAGTAAAGGGATAAAAAGTATCACCAGACTAAAGTGAAATGCTATCAACCAGTAGATTTCTGGAGCTAAACTGGATCACACAGTCAGGTGCACCCTGTCAGAGACAGCAGAAAATTGTCCTCAGCCTCATGACAGCCACCCTTAGACACTCAATATCATCTGGATGCTCCAGACGGAGAAGAGAGTCTCTGGAAAACCTTCAGGCCACAAGAAGCCAGAAGAGCAAATCAGGAGAACTTGCTAACTCATCATGAGGCCCACATACCCCCTCGGTTTCTTCAAAGTTTGAAGACTCTACACCAGATCAGGAAGCTGAGCACAGCCAGCAGCATTGCTTTACCATTGCCTTGTTGTTTCTCTGAATTAGGAAAGTGGAGACAAAACAGGGCAGCAAAGCAGCTCCTAGCAGTGATACGCACCAAGGAAGGGTTTTGTGGGTCAACTGATTCACATACGGGTGGCTTTATCTTTTTAATAGCCACTGGGCATTGAAAACATATTTAATGAGGATTATTGGACTTAGAAACATTTACATGGTGAAGCTGCCTAAAGGCCACGGGCATGCCAGGCCCCATTATGCTAAGTGCTATACAAACTCAAATTTTAACTCCATGCTTTAATTTACTCACCATAACAACAATTTGCATTTCATCCTGTGAGCCACAAAGTGCCATCACCACAGCCACTGGAGCTGTGCAGTCACACTGCACAGCCCCATCAAACTCAGCAGGAGCCATAAGTGGGGGCGGCCAGAGAAGGGCCACATGTGGCTGTTCATGACATGGACTGTCCCCCACTTCCAACTGCTGGGGCAGAAGGAACTCCTCTGAGCATCTCTGCAACCTTACCAAGATACAAAAGGAGCTGATGATCCACTGTCTTCTACACAACGGGGAAAGATATGGAGGCAGGCTAAAACCACTGAAAACTGGAATCTGGATAGGAAACCAATGGTTATCACCTTTCTTGATTCCCTAATAGACTGGTATCAACGTGGTCCTCCATCAAGGTGATCTGTGATTCAGTTTGCATGCAAAGCGCTACACAAACTGAAACAACAGACTCTTGCACCTTGACTTTAGGCACACACACCAGGGATGAACATGCTAAAAATACCTATACATACAGTGATAGATTTACAGGCTCGGCATCAGGCTGCACATCTGGGGCCTTTCTGTACAAAGGTTCCCTTAAAGAACGAGTGTGAAACTGCATCACGCAGCGAACAAGCGTGCAGATCACCGTAACAGAAGTACTGTTGCCTCTGACCAAAGCATGTCCCTCAGTCCCTCGATGACAGAAGAAACAAACGTTTTGGAGTCTCGGTTTAGGCAGGGCTCAGAGAACAATTATGCATATTCACGTGCCTTTTATCACACGTCTTCAGGGAGCTGGAGCCTCAGAGTTGCTGGAGGCATGCCAGAGAAATGTTCATTGGGGAGCCCTTAGATCGATTCTCATCTCATCTGGCTTACACTTGCTTAAATACAGCGATTTTAAAGATGTTACCCCACGAGGGACATTAAACACTTCCACCCTCCCCTCAGGGCAGGATGCTGAAATGGAAACAAAAGGACCAGAAAATTACCTGTTTCTGAGTTTTAACTTCTCACACTGTTTATAAAGTCTCACATAGCCTTTATATTTACCTCAAAATGACCAACTGAAAACAAACTATCCTGTAAAATAGAACTGGAGTGGAAAAGGCCTGCCAGTCTAAAACTGAGATTTAGACATGGGACACCCTGCTGATGATTTCCCAGGCTGTTGCATGAAAGAGGCATGTAAATGTCATTTTTGAGCAACCCTCCAACCTAAAGCAAATTTCCATCTAAGATGCTGCACCATGGCACCAAATTCTCTGCAATCAGTGAAGCAAGGGTAAAGTGCTCAAACTTTGCAAACTCAGCTTGGAGCTAGTGGAGCTGAAAAAGAGAGTGGGGCTGTTTGTGGTACCAGGAGTGAAATAAGATGACAGCAGGGGGGATGTTTTCCCCGAATGTAAACATCAGCTCTATCTGATTAGCAGCTGAATGCTAGAG